CGGGGTGGGTGGTGGTGTAGAGGGAGGGCTGGGTGGTGGTGTAGAGGGAGGGCTGGGTGGTGGTGTGGAGGGCGGGCTGGGTTGCTGTGGTGGAGAGGGCGGACTGGGTGGTTCTGGGGGGGATTGTGGTGGCAGTGGCAAAGGGCAGGGGCAATTGCAGTACTCCAGTGGGACGTAGCCCCAGCTGGTTGGCGAGTTGGGGCAGACAGGGTCGTTCGGGTCACCCGCCGTCACCCACTTGTCGCTCAACCATATCTCTGCTTCTCCTGTTGGGATATTGTCGGCATTCATTGTCTGCAACAGACCAATTAAGTAGAAGGGGAACGGTTCACAATCTACCTTGCCTGAGAAGTCATCACCGTTCGAAGAATTCAGGGCATAATCGATTGAGAAGCTGCTTCTGTAACCAGAGGGAATAAAATATGAGGATGTGCTGTCTGAAGCTGTTATCTCATACGTACTCAAGGGATTGCAGCCTGGTGTGCCATTGAGCGCTTCTGAAACTCTAAATTCGGGAGTGTACCAAAATAGGGAGACCACGTTAGAGCCGACAGTGTTGTTGTAAAAGAGATCTGCAAAGGTACCAGGAAACTGGCTACCCGCATCAGAATCAAATCCATAGCTGATATCACCGACTGACTGATGCGTACACTACCCGTATCAGACGCACGGAAAGGCACAGGTACATCGGCAGCACTGGTGATCTCTGCTCCCCCGTAAAGGATGTATTCACTATCGCAGGGCAAGTCTGCAACCGGCACCGCCGCAATACCAACAGTGGTGGTGAGCACCAACATCCATAGGATGGCAGTGTTCAGCCCAATGCCAATACTCCTCCTGCGGCGGCGCACTGGGGGTGAAGATGAGGGGATAGTGGTGGCTCCTGGGGAGTCCTTGGGCCCATTGGGCTGTTGTGACAGACGATCAGGGCCAGGTTCACTTGAGGAAATGGAACCTGTGTTCGGATGGCGTCTGGAGCTGGCGACTGTAGCAGAAGCAGGAACCCCTGCCATGCTGTTGCAGTGCTTCCCTTCCTTGCTGCTGTAGATGGCACAGCCACACGTCCAGACAGGTACGTACGTGATGAGGAAGTGCAAGAAGCAAGCCCTGCATTCCATTCATCAATCGGCAACCAGCAGCATGTACTTAGTTTGTGTTCCATGGTTACAATGACGGTCAATGAGGTCATTTAGCACAGTCATCTAGCTATGCATGCCGCATATCCATGAAACGCACTCATCATGTTTCGCTGCACCATCCAGTTCAGGCTGCTGGCCGTCGTAACAACGAACATCTGTAAAACGTTTGATGGTCGACAATGTTCACGTAACAACAACAACCCGGTCAGGGCCCCCGGTGCTCATCCCTTCTCAGGACGAGCCGCCTACAGTAAAACACCCCATCAACCCAACAACAATATCGAAGCCGCACTCTCAGCAGGTGTGAGAAAATAGCTAGTGCGGCGCAGCAGGCCCACACGCTGCTGTGGTGGCTACGTGGGTGAGGTGGGTGCATATGAAGGGGCAGGAACTGCAAATAATAAAGCATGACGTGAATTACACCAACGGCAAGCATGCGCTTGCTAGGTAGCTAGCAGAGCAGCTGCTGCAGTTTCACTCACCGAAAGCCGGACCAGGCCGAACCTCGATGTCTGCAATGCGGAGTGTCTATAGACAATAAACGAATTCACCGATCGGTAATTTTCTGTTGTCGTGACACAACAGATGCCAGCTTCATGCCTTGAAACTGTTACTTAAAAAGCAGTACAAGCATGTAGTTCATGGGGAGGTCGAAAGTCGGCGGAAACCGCCGGCGGGCATACGTACGGTAGCAGCTCCAAGTTCACGATTTTTATTCTCAGCTCCAGAAAATTATGTGTAGGACCATATATGGAATATATCGTTACCTTCCGGCAGAACTTTCAAAGCTATCGGTCGTCTGTTGGGTTTCACCACAGCAGTGGCCGCTGTACGGGGCGTTTCATTTCGGAAAAGGCCATAAGAAAACTACACGCTACGCGTAAGGTCGGCTTGCCCCAAAGAGGAATTGTCTTAGTCTGTAATGGGTGCGTTTGAGGGTGCCGTAGTCTATGTTGTGATGAGATTTTTGATAAATGGTACGCGCACGGTGAGTCGAATGAGGTGCGATTACCGATTGTAAGCTACAAAAAGCAAAGCTCTAGCAATGAGCTAATTAGCTAATTGATGAGTTGTGTTCGTGTAGCAAACTTCCCTCTACCAAACCAAAAGATTGCCCATGTCCGTGTGTGCGTGTGGCCGTGTGGCCGTGTGTGTGTAACGGACCAAACATAACATATCTCGCCCGGCTGAAACGCGTTATTGGTACTATATATCATTCTCTATGGCATGGTATCTCGCCTGTAGCCAACAAAAATGGTATGAGCACAAATGAGCACAAACAACTTTGGCTGCCTCAATTGACCGAGGCCAAAGTCACATCAATGACTCTCGGGCTTAACTTAATCTCAAAAGGTACCGTGTATCTCATATTTGAATTCTTAGATGACGGCGTATGATAACTCGAATTCCCAGGCCCTGAGTGTGTAACGGACCAAACATAATTTTTCACCCGGCTGAAACGCGTTATCGGTACTATATAGCATTCTCTCTTGCAAGGTATCTCGCCTGTAGCCAGCAAAGATCGTATGAGCACAAACAACTTTGGCTGCCTCCATTGACCGAGCTCATGGACACATCAACGCCTCTCGGGATAAATTTCATCTCAAAAGGTCCCGTGTATTTCATATTTGAATTCTGAGATGACAGCGTATGAAAACTTGAACACCCAGCTTGTGTTACAATTTGCCCGCACGGGCATTCCGACTTGCCACCAGCAGGCCGACAAATTTGCTTACATTTCTCTATGAAATACGCAAGCTGCTCGTTTGTACATTTACTTTAGCCAATGCTCGGGGCCTCCGGAGACTTGCGGTGTGCCGCGATGAAGCTCGCAGCTGTGGGGCGGATTGCTGAGGCCGCTGGCGCTTCAAGAATAAACATCACAGACAGCACCGAACTTCACCCAGCTTTCGCTACCAATTTGCCCGCACGGGCATTCCGACTTGCGGTCTGCCGCACTGTCCATGCGGCATGCACCCGGGATGGATGCGATTCGCGTGGAGCCCGCAGGCAGTGCTGACGATTCCGCCGGTGCAAGCTTAGCTCCCACACCATCAGCACTGCTGCAACACAGCACATCTCCCACCGCGTTGACACGACCCATCAATTGTCACACGTGCCGCGCTAGCTACCTGTAGGGGGGGCCCGCCCTTTTTCCGGCTTCGAGGAAGCCGACACCCGACTTGTCGCTAGTGAGCGACATATCGCTCAAAAATGCTACACTGCTCGCCATTGCCTAAGCGGGCTTGAGGAGCGGTTATTAGGATGGTGAACTACTTTCACCATCAAAATCCTTAATACTTTATATGCCAACTTTTGACGGGCGCTCTTGACGGGCGCTCTCTCTCGCCTTTCCAGCCCTGCGTCCCCATCCGCGCATCGCACCACCACCCTACGAAAGGTCTACATACCCTCCTCTCCAACCGCCACCACACGCAGGTGCTACTGACGCTATGCCCGCAACCTCCCCTGCTCTTCCCCCCATTCGCCACCTCTCCTCCAGGGACTGCTTGACGGCGGGACATACAGAGATACATGAGAGAACAGCATTGCACCAGCACCATGAACAGTAAGGGAAGCGACATCAGCAGCAACAAGTCAAGTTGCACCCACACCTCTCGCGCTCTTCCTCCCCCCCTTGGCCCACTCCCCGGCAACACCTCTAGCCATCAACAATGAGGGCCATTCACATCTCGCTGAGGGGCGTATGGGAGGGAGAGGGAGAGGGGCTCCTTGTACCATCATCATCACACCGTTTTGCCACATCTACTGAATCCATCTTCCACATTTTGCTGGTGTTGCTAATCCTGTCCTTCCTCCCCTTCCTCCCCCTCTCGCCCTTCAATAACTCGTGTTGCTATTCCTACTGCTGCTACTGTTGTCGTTGCTGGGGCTGCCGTTGGGGCTCCGGCTTCCATTTTGCCGCCGCCCGACGTGCCGCCTCCCTCGCCTCCCAGTTCACCAGGTGCTCCGGGACCACCGGTACGGCAGGATCTGTGGCAATACCGCAATCTCTGGATCCCCTCAGAATACGAATGTAGCCGTCATCGCCGTAGAACTTGGCCCAGCTGTTGCGGACCTGAAGGGACAACAGAGGGTTGGAGGTTGGCGGTTGGAGGTTGGCGAGGGGCGGTGGGTGCGGGGAGATTGGCGAGGGGAAACCGATTCAAATGAAGCCCGTAGCGGCACATGATGGGGGACGGGGTTTGTACGAATATGTTTATCACGGGGGAGTATCGGTATGTATGTATGTATGTATGTATGTATGTATGTATGTATGTATGTATGTATGTATGTGTTCGTTGAGTTCAAGTTCGCAGGGTCGATTTCGAGGGACACTCATTTCCCGCCATATCACATACATACATACACACATGGTGGCCCCCCCCATCATATGGACGGTGTAGGACGTGATAATATCAACTTGCGAGCTGACCAGGAACTAAGTTGATGCGCCGTTGATCCGCTAGATTTGGTTGGATGCTGGTGGTGAGTTGCCGAACCCAAAGAGTACACTCTGAAGTCGGATGGGGTGAATGGATTAGGGTGCCCCTCTAGCAGGGGAGAGCAGGGAACTGCCCCCAAGGGAAAGGGGGCCGCTGGTGAAGCTTAACCACCCTGTAACGACATACATACATACTCCCAAGGCGCCCTCTCCCCGCATCCCTGCAGCACCACAGCATTACGGCCCACCCCCAGCTCCTCCCCCCCCAACACACAAACGCCAACACGCACCAGCCAATAATCTTTGCCGTCGGCAGTAGTGCCGTACCCGTACAACGTGACGGTGTGATCCAGATCTCGCATCTTATGAGAGCAGGTAGGTTCGTCGTACACTCCTCCCGAATAAAACCGGAAGCTCTCAGGCGCTGCAGGCGTTAGACGGTAGTTGCGGTTGGAAGTGAGGTGGTTGGAAGTGGAAGTAGTTAGGGATGTGGATGTGGCTGTCGTTGCGGGTGGAGTATCATGGACGGCATTAGTGAGGGTACGGGAGGTGCGGTTTGGGGCGGTTGAGGGGGTGTGGTTTGGGGGGTTTCAAATTGACGAGGGATTATTGGTTGGCGGTTAGACGGTCAGATGGCGGTTTACACCCGGTGCATGCTGGGAAGGCGGCTGCCAGCGAGTGGCTCAGGGGCTCTAATTTTTCAATACCTTCATCCGTACATCCCGTACACAGACGTCTTCTTTCATTTCGTTGCTAGCTCGTGCTAAGTGCACCATAACAACGCCGTAGGCGACCTCTCTTTCCCTTAAAGCGACTGTAAACCAATTTCCTACACGCACATCCATCCATCCACACATACATACATACATATATAGGGTTTGGCACTATTGGTGACGCACGACCATTGCCCCCGGGAGATCCCGGGATCGATACCCGTTAGGGTCAAAAGTCCTTCCGATGGTGGAAGGCATTGCGCCCCTAGTTGATGGACGTTGGTGACCTAGGATATAGTTAACCTGCGAGCCGACCAGGAATGGAGTTGGGCCGCCGTCGATCCGGCAGATTCCGTTGGATGCTGGTGGTGGGTGCGGAACCTAAGCGATCCACTGAGAAGTTGACTAGGGTGACTAGATGAGGGTGCCCCGAAATACCGGGGAAGGCAGGGTTTCGCAGGGTAGCTGCCACGGGCGAAGATATACCCCCCTGTTTCACACACCATACATACATACATACATACATACATACATACATACATACATACATACATACACACGTACCCGCATCCACCGACACAGCCACGGGGCCGTACTTCCACACCGCCTCCATAAGCGCCTCCTCGTTGCGACTCTCCACAGCCCAGTAGCCGGAGAACTGGCCCACCATGCTGCGGTTAGCAGACCTGCGGGCCGGGCAAGGCCGGGGAGTTGAGGAGTACGAGCAGGCGTATGCTACATGACGTCAATATGTATAAAACGTGAAAGGTACCACCAGTGCCGAAGATGTCTGAGCGAGCAATGGCGACTGACCGGCCGAAGAGGTGGCATGCAGCCCTCTGATCCAATAGCTATTAGCGGGGGGAGAAGCCCTTTCTGAGTAAACCCCCGCCCCCTCCGCCTCCCCCGGCCCCGCCCCCGGTGGTAAAAACCTAAAACCCAACTTGCTTTACCTTTGCTTACCTGCAGAAGCCGACCTCGCTCCTGTACGAATAGTCCTGCTCCAACGCAATGCCGCCATTCTCAGCTACGTAGCTGCAAGTACGATACAGAAGAAAGTACGGCCATGTACGGCACGGTTCTGTCATAGACGTATCTGACCCGACTCCCGACTCCCGAAGGACACCCGCTCAGTGGCACCCAGGGGGAAGCCCAGCGGGTGCCGCGGGTGCCTCCAGGCGCTGTGGTGTGTTTGGGTGCCTGGTTGCTGACGTGGGCCCGGGGGTGGTGGCAGCCCCATCCGCCCTCCCCACCTGCCGTTGCGTCCCCCTAAACCCGCAACCCCGGTGTGTCACACACGGCGAATACACACACACACACACACACACACACACACACACACACACAGCACACGTACCGCCGCCTACGGAGCTGCTTCTGTATGGCGTCATTCGTGCACCACCATATCCCCGCAACTGCCTGATCGCGGCTCCGAACATCATAAAACACAGATGGCATCCAACCACACGGGCCGCCCGCCCATCCTCCCAGAGTCTCAGCCGATGCCGGCACCGCCGACGTCTTCTGCAGTTGCCGGGGGCCGCTGTTGCACCTCATACAACCTAACCGCAAATAGTCCACCCCGGCAGGACCCTCCCTCCCTGGAGCCGCGTCAAACACAAAACACATCACCCTCACGCCTTCTCCCCCTTCTCCCCTTTCTCTTCGTTTCTCCCCCACACCCCCAAATCTCCCCCCACCCACGCACTTGAACACAGGCTGGTAGTAACCGCCGAAGCAACCGTTGGGACCGTACTCCCAGGCACAATCCACAATCTGAGTGAGCAACAGAAACAGTTGGTACGACAATGTCGTAAGCGGGTAATATTATCACAGCGACAGGGCTCCCGGCACCAATGGCTGAGTTGCTGCAATGCAGCTGCAAAGGGCATGAAGGATTGTGTGTGAATGCCCAGGACAGGACAGACAGACAGACATACAGAGGTTAGGCCCCTTCAAAACAGAAGAGCCTCACGCATCATCAGGGACTTCATTCATCCGCCTCCGTGTGTAGCACAAACCCACACCCCCGCTGGTGCCCCCACCTGCTGTTCGCTGAACGACCTCCTCTGCCCGGTGGCCACGAACCAGGCCCCATCCATAGCTCCCGTGGCGGCGAAAGCCTGAAGGGGAGCAGGGCAGAGTGTTGAGGATGCAGGAGGCGGGTTAAGAGAAGGGGGGAGTCACAATGGCGAGGAGGGCACGGAGAATAGGGAGGATAACGGGGTGAGAGGAAATGCAGGCACAGGAAATACCTGCCCTCCGGAAGGGGGAGGGGAAAGACGAACCACACACGATTGAAGCTGCTGCTGAAGGGGGAGGGGGAAGGGGAGGAGGGATAATCGTCACCCTGCGTGATTTCAACGTAGAATAAGTTAACTGCCCATACCCAGCCCACTAACTATCAGAGGACGACGACAAGGGGAAGACGTCGCACGAACACACACCACCCGCGTCCGGTCATTTGCTGTACGAACGAATGTCCACCAGTACACCGATATGGCCAAACCCCCTCTACATATCTCCCCCTCCCCCTCCCCCTTCCGGATCACACCAGATGCAAACCCACGTAGCAGCTGCCGCACATTCCCTGGTCCTTGACACCAGGGTCAGCTCCCGTACCCCGCCAGTCCACAGAGTACGGCAATTGATGACGTGGAAGACTGGCCCCAAGCCGGCCCACGGGGCGGTACGGACCAGGGCGCTGCGGACCCGGGGTGGAGGCAGGGGGTGGGGGGGCGTCAGAGGGGGCTTTCTTTTAGGGGTGCGGGGTCCAGGGGGGGATACGGAGAATGACGTGGAAGTGCTAAGGCGGTTGAGGTGGTTGAAGTGGTTCAGGTGGATGGGGAGGAGAAAGACAAAGGAATAAATATATTAACAAAAAGGATAGGAAACTTCCTCGTTAAAGGCATCAGCGTCCGTCAGTATGTATGTCGCCAGCCAGGAGCTCACAACCCGCTTTCTGTTTCCCGGGTTCGTCAAATCGTACTTGGGCAGCCAATCGAGCGAAGCACATCACGAATCATAAAATAATTCCGGCTCCGAAACCTAACCCGCTGGCCCACGTACCTCTGAAAGCAGCACCTCTTCCTCCTCCTCCTCGCCTCGACCTCCCCCGCCTCCTCTTGAACCCTCCTCCACCGAGGTAAGCCCCAGAACTCCTTTCCCTCGCTCCTGCCTGTACGACAGGTCGTACTGCTGTACATTGGCTGCTGTTTCCCTTCTCCTGTTTGGCATCATAGCTTGTAGGAACTCATCATGGTGCCAGTCCGCCCAGTGGTTGAGACGCATGGAGAAGCTCCGGTTGGGATTGGCGTTGTGGGCCTGTGCGTGTGTGTATGTATGTATGATGTTGTTACAGGGTGGTATAGCTTCACCAGCGGCCCCCTTTCCCGAGGCAGTTCCCTGCTCTCCCCTGCGAGAGGGGCACCCTAATCCATTCACCCCATCCGACTTCAGAATATGTATGTATGTATGTATGTATGTATATATGTATGTGTGTGCACCAGCATAGAAGGGGGGAATGTGAGGGTGGGTCCGCGGGGACGGGAGAGGAAGGGGCAGCGCGCGGGGGAGCAAGAAGCAGGGGGCCAGGGGCGGGTGACATGGGGGAGAAGAGAAGTCAGTGGGCGGCGGGGGCGGCGGGCACCTGTGCATGCACACGCACACACGCACACACAGAGCCACCATCCCTTCATTTCCGTTACTTGCACCGAGGTAACATGAACATACACGCCATCGTAGCATTGTGTATATCCTCCAGCAACCCGCAAAACACGTGTTCCTGATCCTGATGAGGAAAACAAAGGGCAGGGGCCGCAAAGGGACACGGACCACACAGTGCCAGACGGCATCTACCTGCACGCGCTCAACGACGCTCCGAAACCTCTTCATCCTTGCGTCGTACTCGTCCGCGTCAGCATGTGCCCGGCCATGGGCACGTGACCAGATGTTGTATGCACGATTGTCTGGCACGGATGCAGATCGGACGTGGAGTGGGTGGGTTGATAAACGTGGGCCTCGGGGGCCGCGGGGGGAAACTTACTAGATTGTGGGCGAGAGAAGGGGGGAGCTTGGGGGAGTGCGGGAGTGCATGTGCGGGTTTTGGGGGGTGGACGGTAGAGACGGGGATGGGAAGGCTACGAGCGAGCACTTGTTCCTGGCCCCGACCACGGAGCATGCACGAGGGTCCTAACATGAACCGCTCCAGGGTAGGGCGCGGCGCGGGTGTACATGGGTGGTTTCCCGCGGGTGTGTGGGTGTGTGGATGTGGTTTCATAACACGAGCCGTAAGAAGAAATTAGGGACGGGACGGGTGGTTACAGTCACACATACACACGCACATACACACGCACACGCACACACACACATATGGTAGCAGCTTCCCCGCAGCAAGAAGTTCAACGGTGGGTGGTGGAGGTGGCTGAAATTGCGAAGTTGATAACGAGCTGGAGAACGAGGCCAGAGGTGAGGAGCGAGCTGAATTAGCCGACCCCACGTGTGCGTGTGTATGTATGTAATGCGGCTTGTCAGGCTAAGTCACATCCAACTTAACCCTCGTTCCCCATACACACAGTCACGCACACGCGGCAATAGCCAAACCACAATCCCCTCCATCGTCCTGGCAATAAAACAATTACCACGACTACAAAGGCAACTGAGAAACGTAAAACGACCCCTTTCCCAGGACAGCCGTACATGCCAATACGTCGCCGTACGGTCGTACACTCACGATCGTACGCCCGGATGTCCGGCAGGAGTGCCCCCAGCTGCAGGGCGGCAGGGTGCTGCCGTTGCCCCTTTTTGGCCGTTACCTCATTACATATCGTGGGTACGACAAAGAGGTTGGAAGCGTTGTTAGGCAAGCCGGGCGCGAAATGTGTGAAGTCGTACAGGTACCTGAGATTGCCGGGGAGTGAAAGGGGAGAGTGTGTGAGCGCCTGCTTTAGGTTGCGTTGAGTATTGGGTGTGTGTGTGGGGGGGGGGGGGTCTGGGATGTGGGATGGGGGGGGGATAGGCCCAGTTAGGGCTACCACTCCGTACCGGGAGTTAACGCCGTACCAACCGACGGAAAACTGCATTGGGTAACAATTTGTATAAGTGGATGTGTGTAAATGCATCTTCTAAGCAAGGGCGAATCATCTGCGTTGCTCGTACATCTGGGTGTGTGTGTGTGTGTGTGTGTGTGTTTGTGTGTGTGTTTGTGTCCTCCGGAGAGCAGCCGATGACACGACCCCGCACAGTTACATGACTTCCAATGGGAAGTACGACTGCAGTGCGACCGCACTCTGAAAATATGAAAAAGGCGTACGGAGCTTAACTCGTCAAAGTGAGCATTGGTAAGGTAGTTGATGCCCATCATGTAGAGTCGCAACGGTACGGCATCCGGTGTGACGTAGAAAGTGTACTGCGACACCTTGTCGTACTCCTTGATCTGGCGCTGCCAAATGTCCGCTTGCCGGCCATCAAACTCCACGGAGCCGCCGTACTCCCACCTTGACAAGTCCGGAAGCGGCTGTCGTATATGTCGTACAAACAAATTATAAGAAGGATGAAGATTTCAATTCGTGCTCGATCCCCACCATGGAACTTCCCGCGACCCACGACGTTTTTCGGAGAGCAAAACACGCACATTTCTATTTTTAAACCAATAACAGAGATAATAAAATATGTAAATGATAGCAGCAGCCATGTTTGCAGCAGCTTGAGCACCAGTAGCCATCATCGGCAAGCAGTAGCCACATGCACGGCAGCAACACCGGCTACAGTTTCGGTAGCAGCAGCAACAACAACAGGAGTGGTGGTAATTGGTTGGGTAGATGTGGGAACATCCGCCAATGCCCCCCTTCCGCCCCGCCGCCCATACCCCCCCTCCCCCACCTCACCGACTGAACCTTCCTGCCCTTTTCGCCGTACACATCGCATTGCAAGGTGTTGATGCGCGGGATGATGGTGTAATCTACTCCCTGCGCAGGAATGCCGGCAGTAGCAGGAATAGAGGGCTGTAGAGAAAAAACATTGGGGGGGGTATTGGGGGACCGAATGTGAACGAGCCCTACCCCCACGCAACACCCCCAACATACACACACACACAGGGTAAAGACGGGGTAGGTGGAACAGCTAGATGGGTACGTAGGTAGGTAGGTAGGACAGGCAAGGAAACAGCTGGCCGCACTGCGCACATCCAAAACTGGATCCGTAAGCATTCCGTGTCGTCTCGCAATCCACATTCCGTTTCCTTCGCCTGAACCCTTCAGACCCCCCCCGCTACCAGCGCATATTCCTGAAGAGGAAGGGCACGTCGTTCCTGGAATTTAGACACCCGCGTATTTTATCCTCGCAACCCCACCCGTTCCATCATCCACCCCTCCGCCGCTGCCCTGCTTAACCAGCCTCCCCCTCCCTCCCTCGACCCCTTCCCATACCCCCCCGTTTCCCACCCCTACAGCTACCCCTCCCCACGCTCCCCATTGCCCCTGCCGTGCTTCGACACGCGCTGCAGTTACGGATTTCCCGCTCTTTCTCGACCTCCTGGAAATATATTGCGTGACCTCCTTGCCGCTCGCCAGTTATCCCTCCCCCCCTCACTTCTCCCCCACTGCGGTAGGCTTCCCACATATCATCGCCAGCTCAGTCTGTCCAGTTCAGTGAGGCTGTTGTCTCATTGCGGGTTTGCTTGCAGCTACCCCATCTACCACACCTGGCCCCTCTTCCTGCCATCCATATCCCTGATACCCCTCATGTGCATTTCGTTGAAATCATCCATCACCTCAGCGACCCTCCCGTCACCGCGCCGCACGTACTCCCCACTTTAAGTGGGCCGTCGCCATCGTCATCGTCGTCCGGGCGCACCCTCCCCTGCCCCCTCCCCTGCCCCGGAGGACAAGAGAGGGCTCGCGCCGTTCGGCCTTCTCAACGCCGCCCTCTTCCCCGCGAGAGCGGTTAGCCGTAGTCTACCCTACGGGCAAATTCCCTGGCCGCAAAACTGCAATAGCGATACCTCACTGACCCCCAATACCGTCCCCAAAGCCCAAACAGATCCGTACAGACGACAAATTACGTCGCCCCAGTCCCACCTCCACAGACACGCATGAGTCTTCTCCGTCGTACGCCTCCACGCGCCGCAGGTTTTTAGGACCGTCGTACCAAACTGAAACTGGATAGCTATATGCGACCGTGCACAGACGGGTTGTGCGGCGATGGGGAAGGGTAGCGGCGGCAGCGGCGCGAAACAGCTTTCGGAAGGCGGTTGTGAGGCGAAGGCATCAAGGATTGATTAAGCTACCAGCGGCCCAGAAATACAACGAGGTGGAAGTGGATCCCTGAGGGTGCTTGCATGGCATGTAACGTTGCTTGCACAGTGGTGGTTACATCGCATGTGGCACAGCACAGCTTCCACTGCAAGACACAGCACGCCACAATACCGCAAGCACAGCACCAATTTAATTGCAGCACCACAACACCAATCGCGTCCGGAGCGGCTAAAGCTGCAGTGGTGGAGAAGATGGCACAGGCGTGCAGTTCCGGGTGCTGTGCGGACGAACAAATGTCGGTGTCGCACGGTGCAGGAATCCTCAGGGATGCGTGCAGAGAAAGACTTGGGGTTTGTGTGCATTTGCGTGTAAAACAACGGTACGGTGATGGCACGGACGCAAACCGGAGTTAAGGGCGAACCGGGCAAGGTTTGTAGCGGGATGGAGGAATGACAATGACTTTACGGGATTGAGGATTGGCAATGACTTTACGAATGACGCACCACGATACCTGAGGCCCTTTGGCTGGGTGAGGTAGAAGTGAGGCATTGAGAACGTGTACTTGAGCGAGAAGACATCTGGAAATATCGGAGACCTGGGCGTAGCTGTCGTGGCGGCATTCGTGCTGCAAGTGGCTAACCACAACAGCAATCCTGCCGCCGCTGCAAAGCCACCGCTAGAGTACATGTCACGGACTCGCATGTTTCAGGGCAGGCAGCGAAGCAGTTAATGAAACAGTGCGTACACGTCCATCGAGATGTGGCAAACTACGCGCGCATATCGCTATCTAGTATGTTGACCAGCATAAACCATCGCTTGCAAAATAAATCCATTAAGAAGTGTACCCTGTAATGTGACTCGTTTGAATATTTACAGTTACGGCCTGTACCGAACCACGACCTGACCAACTGCCTCAATCGAGATGGCAAGCAAAACTTGACCTAGATCCCTGGCTTGACTACCGTTACAAAACTCGAAGTCAAAGGAGTGCTTGCATAAGCGCACGTCGCAACACGTGACACAATTCTACGACTATCGCATCCCCAGGGGTCAGCCGACCCAAGTCTAAGGTAGACACTGGTCGTATCATATTCAGAAACAGAAGACACAAGAGGCATAAGCATATTCCATAAGTGCTTAGGGCACGGTATTGTGATGGTGCGTGCCGAGTTTTCGGATAGGTTCAAGGAGAACGTTAAGGGCTTTGGCAGCTCCATATCCCTTGACCGCACGCACTTCAGTCCTAGGCCCAGCAGGGCTATTGCGTGGTAGGAATATGGCTGTCCTATTAAGGTGATGATATGCGTTACATAGTTCTTGTGCACGCGAACTTCGAAGAGCACAAACGGCAAGCCTTTTGATGTGCAGGAGACCTGGCGTTATTAGACTCCATCAGGTAATATAAATCTCTTATTATTGTTCTATCTGGCAGGACTGCATTTGCCAAGAAATTCTGGGAAAGTCTGTGCTCGCCTCATAGGGCACGATATCGGAGGGCCCAGCTGGTGAAGTCATACTTCGTAAATGACTGGAAAGATTCTATGTTAAGTGGGGGACGAACAGGCTGCTTCACCGCTCGGCGCAAGTTGCCATTCAAACTTTTCATGGGCCAAACGTGTAAACATGCCTGCCAGGAAGATCATGTAACATTATGGAGTATGTGAAATACATAATATGGGTTTCCTTGGGCGATTGAAGCCTACGGTTCGTTAGACGTTCGTGCCTGTTACGGCACAAGAAGGGATGTAACCAGGTTAATAGATGTCGCCGCTGACTTGTATACATATATTCTTGTGAACACATATAAGTGTCTAAGCTATTCGTTGGAGTCTGGCTGCAAAGCTCCGTATAGTCTACGTATAGGTTGCAAATCGTGGACTTTTCGGAGAGGAGTAGCCATGAACATCTGTAAGCCTGGATGACCCACATGTTTAACACGACATGTCAAGGAACTCAGATTAATATTGGCTGCTTGTTTGCAGCGACTCTTCGGCCCTTTGAAACTCCTCTGTCAACATCGCTCTCTCCCCGGCGCCGGGAATACTCGCCCTCAAGGCCAGGCACGACGGGTGCGCTTGTCCTTATGTTTCTACTGGCTTTACAGCGGATGCTGCCTCTGGCATTGAGGGAGTCTCTGACTGTCGATCGTTTTCCTTCAGGCCCAAGTGCCAAGCTCGAACATGTCACGGAGAGGTTTGCAGGCCTGTGGAGTGACCTTGAACAGGAGAAACAGGTTTGCAGCTGGATACATGGGAAAGTGCTCTGCCGCACTTCATTGATTTAGCTCAACCTGTTTTCCCGGTTGCAGAACAAGCGGATGCAGGAGTCAACTCGCTTTAGCCTCCTTCAGGAGTCCCTACAACGAATCGAGAAAAGCGTCGAGGTTAGTTGGCCTGGCGTGTACGACAGTGGTTGCGCAGCCCCTCCCGCTGACAGTGTTGTCTTCTCGCAGGCGGAGGTGAAGCGGCGAGCTGAGTCAGACAAGCAGCTGCAGTCGCACTTCGAGGCAGAGATTAAGACGCTCCAGGAGCGGCAGGTGCAGCAGTTCCAGGATTTGCAGCTAGCACTGAAGTCAGCCGTTGAGAATCTCAATCAGCGCATTTCAGACTTGCACTCTCTCGTCCGGTGCGTTTCAAATTTATGGGTGTTCGGGCATAAACCTCCAGCCTTTTTGTGTGGCTGTGGGCAGGTGGGAGTGGTAGTGGATGATTCACTAAGGTGGCAATGAGACGCGGATATGATGGCATATGCCCTATCCACCCCAGCAAGCTGCTGGCTGATAGACAACCAGCTTCTGCATAGGACTGTTTAACCTTTCCAGAGCTTAGTTTAGAGGTTAGTTTCCACACAAACCTCCTGGTTTGTGAAGGGCTGTCATATGCCGCCGTTGTTTGCTGGCTGCGGTTATTGTTGCTGTGTAGGGAGGAGCGCGATTCACGGCGCAGTGACATTGAGCACCTGGCGACCAACCTGGTCGGGAAGGTTAACGAGTGCGTGGCGGCGATCGACGAAGGTACGCAGGGACTTATGAGTTTTCAGGGCACCCATCATTATGCATTGCACCGAAAGGATCTTCATGGCAAGCGACACCCAAGACTGTTGATACCTGGACGAGTGGCGCGGTTCCTGTGCAAGCCAGACCGCAGAAAAAGCGATCCGGTACCTGGGTTGGGGTTTAGTTGAACATGGGTTGCTCGGCAAGTCCTCAATTCTGTTATTTTGCCCTTGGACCTGGGTATGGACGGGCTAGTCAGTCAGCACGAACCCAAATTCAAATGATTGTAGGGCTGTTGTGGAGACGAATTGCATTGCATTACTACGCAATTAATTGTAGCAGTTGCCGCCATGTTAGTGCGATAACTCTTTTACTGAAGAGCCCTTGGCAGCTCCATGCCCAGCCCTGAAGTCAGAACAGGCGGCGTACGATTTGGAGGTATGTCATGAAAGTATAGGGCTAGTTGTGTTTGCCAATATCAAACATGCTATACTTGTTGTTGGCGTCGCCTTTGTCAAATGCAAGCATGCACCTTGGCCGTGCCCTGGCATTTGTTCGTACCCCTGTGTGCAGAGCGCAACGGCCGGGTGCAGGAGCAGACCGTGGCTATGAAGCGGGTCGGCGAGGACCTGATGCTGCTGTCACAACGGCTCGACATTGAGAAGACGACTCGGTACGTTCGATAGTCGGGCTGTTTACCAACCCACGTTGATTTCAAGTTGGCCCCAGGTTTGTTCTTAAATGATGGAAACCTATGGAAACCGTATGGAGGGAAGACGCTGTGGAACGGGAGGTCTGAGGATGGGTGAGCAGCGATAGGTTGACGGTGCAAGAAGAGGTGCCTGTGAGCATCCATCCACGAAATGGGTTGTCCATGTATGATCTCTCTGGGTCGCCTCAAACCTGGTTTGTCAAAGTAAACTAGACAAACAAGTACTATGTAGTCTGGATCCTAGGGGCCGATCACCTGTGGGGCTCCCGCAAGTTTCGCCGCAATGGTCGAATCCAAATGCAGCACAAGGACATCTTGTCCGCGTGTGACACCCGAAACAGGTCCGGGGACATTTAGAGATACGAACCCGGTACACCCAAATGCTTCGCCCATGGGGGACTCTAATTCATAGTCCTTGTCTGCACACTTCATGTCGCATTCATAAGTTTTAGAGGCGCATGATTGGCCTTGGACACGTGTCATGTGGCAGCCGGAATAGCGAGAGGCTTGCAGTCATGGAAGATGGCTACATGTCCCTGAGGCCTTGGTTCTCCTTGCGGCTATGGTTTATTTCATGGTGAACCTGTGAACATGCAGTCGTGAGGTCTGCTGCAGATAGTTTTTGTGAACGAATTCGTACGATGTCGTCGTCCTCTCCCTCCAGTTTCCTCTGTTTCCTCTCGCCGGCGAGGCGCTCCTTCCTGCACACCTAAAATGCACATACGCATGCACGCACAGGGAGACGGAGCTCTCTGCTCTGCGCTCCGAGGTGCACGATGCAATCGGCAACCGCAACCTCACCGACGATCAGTTCAAGGTGCGCGTCCTTGTGCATGTGTATTGGTGATGTGCGCATGTTCCGGGGTGGGCTTTGGCACCGCCGAATTGCGGCTGTATGTGTTTGGCAACTTCAGTCACAAGAAGAATATAAGGACGATGGCCGCAAAGGAAGAGATGTGCGCACTAGCGGACGCGATAATGAAAGGTCGAGCATTTGCCTTGTAAAGTTGAGATGATTGTTTTGGTTTTGTAGTATAGAGTCGGCACAGGCACATGCCTCATTCTCATTTGTAGGTCGTACTTTCTTTGCGTGAATGTGCACGGCAGGGTGCAGTGCTCGACGAGATCGCCGGGCTTAAAGCGGCGCTCGCGCTGGAGCGGGAGGAGCGCATTGCTGAAGACGACGAAATTGTTCAGGTGAGGTCGGGGTCCGGAAGGGCGGGCACAATTAATGAATGAAACGTTATAAAGCGATAAGATGGTTGTTATTGACGCAGTGACATCTGTAAGGATTCTTGTTACTGACCGCATTGCCATCCCAGGCTGTAAAATTTGCGGCTTAGGTAGCTACGCCCCAAAACCCCGGCGCTGGGCGAAGCAACTTCTGTTGTTATGTGAGCGGGGGTGCATGCATTTACGCCACTACTGCGGGTATACGTGCATAAATTAGGTTGTTGTGGTCCTGAACCCAGTTTATGGCACAGGGAATATGGCCCTTACCAAACGTGTTCGGGGTGGTTGAGTTTCGCTTGGAGATAGACGAAGCATGCTTCCTGTCAGCAAGGGTATTTCAGTGTTTAGGATCTCGTGGTTACGCGACCCATCAAGATGACACATTTGGCCATGGGTCTCACGTAAACAAGTTTTTTTGCACTGGCAGGCCGTCAACGACTACACGAAGGCGCTGCAAGAAGGACTGAAACTTGTCAGCACATGAGTGAGGGCTTTGTGTGGGCGTGGAAGGCAGAGCACAGCGGCCTTGCCGACCCAGGACGGACCCGTAGGACCTTGCAATGCATCAACCTGCATGGGCCCTGGTATAGCGTCACCGCTCGGAACGAGCTCAGCACTGCACTAGCATGATAGTAACTTGCCCGCAGCTGTGACGTTGCAACGAATCTGCTCTGTTGACTATTAGCAGTCTCGTCTTGAGTGACCTCGAGTACGTACGAGCGAGCGTGCATGTGCGCGAAAACTTGAACTCTACTCGATTTGGGGTGGCGGCACTCGCCGGAGCCTATGTGGCTCATGAGGTGCGTCTGCGTATTGACTGAACTCCTTAGACTGTCCTTCGGAGGTGTGATGTTCCTGTTCCAATGACTTCATGACATTCTTGACATCTCTGCCTTCGGCCTCATTGATTTTCACTAGCTGGAAATGGAAGGGCTGGTCCTGTGCCAAGGCACTTGAAACTCTCATGTGATGCACAGAAACTTTCATCTTTGTGTTGTGTGTGTGTGTGTGTGTGTTACACCTTATGTAGCGTAAGTTACCCTCCAAAGGTGCAACGGGACCATACGAGCCGGGGGCCCAAGGGTCAGCCGAAGGCTGTCCGAAATCATGCAAAATCCGACAAGGCTACACTTTTTTGCCATCTCGACTTGATGTGGGATCTTCCTTGAACATGTGTGACTCAAATCTTATTTCTATGTTTATGTTTGAAACCGCGTGGGTTCAATGAATGAGGCACCGTGCAATGGACCCGAATGGATCAGCGATGCCGCTACATCCGACATTGCCTCACCTGCCTATCTACCTAAGTACGGACTTGTGTAGCGGCGCAACCTTGCACGACCTGGCGTTTGGGTAAATGGGCACTTGCCCAAATCGTCCATTTGATTCTCAGGGTTTCCCGTGTATACGAAATGTTGCAAGGTGTCGGCACTGCGTGGCGCTAGGGTGGAGGTATCGGCTCTTGCCTCTGCTTTACACGACCTGTCTGTCATACACGGGATCCTTTGGTGTCATTCCGATCAAGGCCCGTCAGCTTTCCCATGTTGTCCTCTTTGCGCGAAAGGGTATCATGTTCCTTGCCCATTTTCGTGCTGGGCTGTTCCTGCTCTTGCATCTTGCTAATCCGTGAGCAACTCAATAGGGCTGGTAGGCTTCCGGGTTGGGCTGAATGCCGCAGTGAGCTATACAACCCAGTGTACCGGCATGCGTGTGGCCTCTTCTCAAGTATATGTAAATTTCCAGTCCTACAGAAGGAAGCAGTTAGCAAGCTGAGTACCCGGTGACTCTCGTGCCCGCTAGGGTTTAGACTTGATAGAACAGCCAGGCCAACCTGAGGTCTAAACCTCATAGAACAGCCAGGCCCACCAGGGTGTCCTTGGCAATGTAAGGTGGCTGTGAGGTAGAGGGGATCTGCACCTAAATTGAATGAGCCCAACAGTCTCCAGACACGTCCAGCCAGGTAAGTTCCGAGCTTCCGCCTCGCGACACTTCACACCAAGGATGCCCGGCCGGCTGCGCGGATGCGCGACGGCTATCTTGTCGAATGAAACTTGCAAAACAGTGAACTTGTAATGGTGGCACTGGCCCTTTAGGAATGATGCTCGCTCTTTCGGCGATATGCTAGCCGCGGCGGGACAGCGAGCGGCCGTTGATTCTCCTGCTGTGGTATCACTACCCCCGTTGTCCTGTTACTGCAGCATGACGTATCCTTCTAATGCTTTGCTCTTATGCCATCCTGACAATATTCCTTATTAGGCGAGAGCTTCCTTTGGACACAGCTGTTTATGCAGGAAAACCGAGTTGCAACTGATGCGTATTGTATTCGGACGCACACCTACTTTTTGCGTTTTGCGGACGCTACCCCATACAAAATAGAAAAACAGGCCCCAGAAAGATATTCAATTTGTAGCTAAACGTTGCTGTGGATGAAAGGAAGTGCTCAAGCGCCCGTCATGTACGGAATGTACCGATTATGATATTAAGCCCCATTGCCCATATATCTGAGGTCATAACATCATTATTGCACTTGACAAGTACGACCAAGGCCGTTCCCATAGCGTAAAGCATGCGCAGCGTTTTATCGTTCATGTTGCTTGCGCTGTTGTGCAGTAAGCTCACACCTTTAGCGCAAGGACAGGCAGGCAGGGTTGCAAAAGCAGAGTTTATCAGTTGCCCTGGCTGACGATTGAACCACCTGCCCGAGGTCAGCCTCGTGCGGAGTAATAAATGCCGCTGTTGTCTTGCCATAATAGCTAGGATTGCCGACCATAACGTGATGAGCTGCAGGTTAAGAGGTTTCTGAAAGGCGATATCGAGCAAGGTGCCTACGAAAACGTCGCCGTAAACTTGTAAGTGACAGGGTTGTTAGACCTGGAGCACAAGCCTTCGGAGCTCTCAGGAAATAATCGTTTGCTATTGCAGCATTCCGGGCAGGATTCCAGAGCTGGTACTCTACGATTCAAATAATGTTGAGGTAAGGCACGCCGGCATGCGCACAGCAGGTGCGGATTGCGTAGATGCTGAAGGTTCTGCTTTGACACAGGTTGAGCGGATGTTCGTCGACAAGCTCAAGTATGATGAGCTCCACACACTTATCCAAACCAAAGGCTTTCATCGGAAAGTTCTCGGTACGCGTGTGCGACAACAGGATGCATGGGGGATGACTCGATGAGCTATGCTGGATTGGCCCCCTGATCTTGACAGCTGCAGTCCCAGAACTCCCCCATCCTTTACGCCCCATGCGTCTCCCGTTCTGCCTTCTCTACATGCCATACGTCCCCCACAGCCCTACTCTCCATCTCCCTACGCCTTGTCACTGAGGAACTTAGGACTACACATGGTTTGGTGTTTGCAGGTGCCACAGCTGTCCGCTTGCGTACCTTCCGGAGGGTATTGTGGTGGCTGGTTTGAGCTTTCCTTTTATTAGCCTTTAAGGCCACACAGTCCATTGTGACGCGCGGTGAGATGTCCGAGATTCAGAGGCTTTAGCCGAAGTGTATTGGCTGTAAAGAAAAAAGGCCCAATTGTGCTGAACCGTGGCACGGCGTACACTGGCCGGATCATCAGGATTAGGTAGGGAAGCTGTAGGAACCATCTGGCATCCTGCATAATGTTTCTATCACTAACTGGACAAGTTTTGCCATCAATCGTCTGCGAGCCGGTGTGGCCATATAGGATGGCCAGCATGTGGGGGTTCGCACCCTATCCATGTTGCCACGGTGCCTGCATTCCTTTCAATACGCATCTGCACCACACCCAGCTTTGTGCTATCAATTACCGCCTGTCTTCCCACCCTCTGCTCTCGCAACTAATTAATACTAATGAATACTCATTTTAAATACATAAACACCAGATCAGACTAACCATAACGGTATTGCCATGTTGCCGGTTTTCTCACTGGGGTGCCTCCTGCCTGCCAAAAAAAACATGCCTGTTCGGTTCTGCCTGCTGTCCTCACCGCCAACCCGCGTAACAGTAAAGCTCGTGCTGCAAGCCCATCATGACGGCCGGTGAGCCCCAACCGAATTTCGTGGACCCGAGCCTGATATAAGCGCTGCATTGTTTGGGCAGGAGCTTGAGTGTGTGTAAACATGGATTGTCATCGCAGCAGGCAGATTACACACGGCGATGAATAGGTTATTGCGTGACGAGCTATGTGCGTCGCAGAGAAGACATGGTAAAGGAGGCCATAGCACCTGGGAGCTTGGACGTGGGTTTGCCGTGCGTTGCCATTCCCCGAGCAGCTTGATGATCGTCTGGTAGCGAGATGCAACTATTGGAGGAAGAGCCGTTGCGGCTTTATTGAATGCTACGTGAATAGACGTGCGCACATGATGTATGTGAGGGACGCATTTAAGTTTGTCACGCTTTTGTAGTGAACCTATGGCGAGTGCATGCGTGTGCATGCATTACTCAAACGAACAGTACACATGCATATGCTGGTACAGTACGGCACACACATAGAGCAACCTATGCTGTGCAACAGCATTTAGAGAATACTTTTTGTCGGCCAGTGAGATCGTCAAGACATAAAAGACCTAAAGCTGTCAGTCAACACCCTCGGCAGGTTGCAATGCAGATGCAATGAAAGGGACGGTCTTTAGCACGCTTAGCGACCGAAGAAGTAATAACTCAGTAGAGCCTGATTTTGTGCCTGGAAAAGATTCTCAGTCGGGCTTAGGTAAACTCCAGCGGCGTGATGTGGATGAATCGGATCACCCACTGCCAATGGTTGCGGAAGGTTATGTGGCAATCCTGGGACGGATCCCTTCAAAGAGGGAGTGAAGTAGCTGCCGTACAACACAGTGTACGCAAAAAACGATACTTATGCGCTAAAGTATTTTGCCAGCACGCTCTTTTCGGTGTCCAGGTACTACCATGCATTAATAGGAAATCGGACATGTGCGTCAGGGTTTACTGCACACCTTTCCAGCTCATTCTTGAGCGCAACAACACAGCTGAACAATGTCACGCCAAAACATCTGGAGCGCACACATTACGTGCCACGACCGAGTTAGTCGCTATCCGCAGGTGGTTAAGCCAACCGAAGGTAGTTAGGCGAACCGCGTACTGATTTAGTTGAGACTTTGGGTGTTGCCTGACTAGCGTATAAGGCGCTTTCCGTTGTGGTTTGAGGATGTTAGGTTGTCGTTCATCTGTCGTTAGTCGGATGAGCGTTACGTATCCAGGATAGGGCCTCGTGTGATAAGGCCCGGCGCGGATCAGTCGGTACTTCGCCGTGCGAAGAGGCCAAACATTTGTCGTTTGGCTCTCGAAGCAACTCTTCGTGAGCGTACAGACCATCAATTATTACGGATAATATATTCACAGGAGGGTTGATAGGCCTGTTTTATGTAAGAAGACTGTGATCCTACCCTACCTCGAGACGCGCATCAGAGCAGGATTGACAGAGAGTATATACACAGCATTCCATAAGGCCCGCCCTTAGTGCTTATACCTCTAGGCTCGACAGGGATCCGTTCCCAGCCCGTCCTCGCCTACCGCGATCGCGCTCATCAAGTTAACGAAGCTGGAGTGAGCCAGCCGAGTCAAGCCGGAGCTTTGAGGAAAGCTTCTATTGTATAATCATCATTTACCCACAGCCAAACGACAAAGTGATCCATCCGCATTTCTTATGTCTGTTAGCACGTCATATGGCGTAACAACAAACCCAAATGGTTGTATCACGTCTACAGAATATGCACCGATTGGTGGATGTCAGAATCCCATGATCCAATTACCTCTCCTCCAGGGCTCGTATCCGGGGTTGGAACTTCCCGCTGCCCTACATATATGTAGGCAGTATATACTGCCGGGCTGTCAATCGACGCGTCCGTTTGGTTTGGGGTAGCTATCTTCCATGGCCTCACAACGCAGGGTTTGCGGGAGGAACATACCGTCTACACATTGTCCACAGCAGCGTTGTGTTTCCTCACGATCCCCTGCTGTGCTGTGGAAATGAAAGGTTTGGGGGATTTTCCAAGGGTGCAGGGTTGTCTTACAGGTCTCACGTGTCGCCAGTGTTGGTAAAGCAGCAAGGTTTGCACCGTCGTTCATCATTACACCTGATAAGCTTGCAGCTTTTACCGCATCAGAACATTTTGGAGCTGCTGAAACATTACCAAACAAAATTGCAAATTGCTGCGATTTTGACGGGGAGGGCTTACGTTCCCCGTGTGAGGCCTTGCGCCGTTCGTTTTGGGGTCCCCTTTCCATGACTTTCACGTGCACGGGGACCCATCCGTAGCTCCAAAACTGCCTTGGATAGTTTCTCATATGTGTCAGGCTTCTGCCCAAGTACGTCCCACTCCCATTAAAACAGTCACCATATTTATCCTTACCCCTGAACTTAGTGCTTGTGGCATCAGCATGACGACCGGTGCATGGGTGGCGATTGACAAGCTCACACCGGGGGAGGGGCCATCATGTATGATATTTACAAGTAGCGACCAAAGTGAAATAATAAACAGACGCCCTAGCGAAGCAAGAGCGACGCTAATATCAATGTATACATTTAATAGAGCCAAAGCACAGCCTTATAGCTGATCACCACTACATATCACAATCTTCAACGTGGCTGCTGTAGGAAGAGGTTTAGGATGCATGCGGGGGGTTAATGGAGATACCAAGAAGAAGCGTCACGAAGCTACGAAATAAACCTCAGCTCCTCAGCGCGCCAAGCAAACCATCATAAGTTGTTGCTGACAACACCGATTGTACGCCGCATCTAGCTACCCATGCATACATGCAAACCGGACAGGTAGAGAACTATTATTGTTGCGTATTATGTACATATTAACTATAGGTTTTCTGAATGAAACGAAAGAAAACCAAGGTGTTTTGTGTATTTGCCGAGAGTGTACTCGGTTGGATGTCGTTGCAGAGGGTTGCAAAAACGGTCTAATCCCCCAATCCCGGGGGGTGGTAGTGGTCAGCCATCCCCCCATCCTGGCTGGGGTGACCGACTCCCATCTCACATCTTAGGGGCCCGGTGCTAATCCCATCCCTTGAGACAGGTTTCCCATCCTGCCAGCCTGGGTCCCATCCCCAATCCTATGGCCAGGGTTTCCAATCCCATCCTGCAGCTGTGTTCCCCCAATCCTCATCCTGCCAGCCAGGGTCCCTTCCCAATCCCTTCGACCAGGGCCATCCCCATCCTGCAGCTGTGTTCAGATCCGAAAGCTGTCAGCCAGGGTCCCATCCCCATCCCTTGCCAGCTACAAACCTACTCCTTACGTTTACACAGGTGCTGTAATATCGGCTTTCTCTTTAGGCGTAAATCAGGGGAATGACCAGGGTTATTTTCTATTTCCGCGAGATATTTTTCTCTTGCTCTATGGCTTATTTCCTCTAGCGTCAAATTCCGCCCGGCTGTGTTCGTTCCGAAGCAGACTGAAGCGACAAACGCTCGTTGAAGCGGATCTCGACTGAGGAAGAACTCGCATCACAGAGGTCTACATATCTAATTGCACACTGGCTGCTATTGCAAATCGCGCGTCCTAAGGGGGGAAGGACTGTTATGTTCGAAGGACGGCCACAGCAACAAATTATAATGCTGTGGTTAGAATGGCAGAACGTACAAGGGTGTTCTGTCAAAATGTCCATGGCTGGGAACGTGCACCATTGGTTCAGGTTCATAGCG